TGTAATGATCTTTTGCATTCTTCATGGGTGATTTTCTTGATATCCTCCCAGAGCTCTTTTGGTCTACGCTCATTGGTGCTCAAGGCCTCAAACCTGTTCCTGAGATGGTTTTGATATTCAAGTGGGAGAGACTTAAGATCAAATTTTGGTTCCCGTGGACTTGATTTACTGGTTTTCACTGCTGATATTGAGCTTCTCCACCGAGTCTTTCCACAAATGTAATCTGTTTGATTCCTTTGCATGCCATCAGGTGAGATCCATGTGTATAGCCTGCGTTTATGTTTCTTATAAAAGGTATTTGCAATGAATAAATCATTTATAACATATAGTCATTGCATATTAAACATACCTCTCTTATGTTAGCCATAGTTCTGCAGATAAATGTATGACGAGACATGAGAAAGATGTGGCAATCTGCGTCTGTAAAGATTACAGCCTTGGAAACTTTGTGGTAGTTCTACTCTGTCTTGTAGGGCCATTGTGAGTTGGAAGGCAGCTCTGCTCTCCCCAATACCACCATTGCTGTCGCTGCACACAGTATCACTCATAAAGTGGAATCAGCTTTATGGAAGTGGGTTTGATGAGTTAACCATTTATTATTGACAGTTGATTCTGACAAGCGGCATGCCAGTGATTTTGCCCTGTGGAAGGCAGCCAAACCCCAGGAGATTTTTTGGACATCACCTTGGGGAAACGGAAGGCCTGGCTGGCACATTGAATGTTCAACCATAGCAAGGTAAGGCTTTTCCAGATATTTCATGTGTTCTGTATATTTATATTAGAGTTCAAGCAGTGCATGATTTGGTCAGCAGAGGGTGTAAATGTAAGTGAGTTTTGTCTAAGAACCAAAGCCAATAAAATAGATTGTTGGGGGAAAAAATGAGGGCTAGATTAAGACTAACCTTAACAAATAAAGCAAAACAAAACAAAAGACATGGCATAAATATTTTTTTTCTTTACATCATCCTTTCTCTTACTGAAAGAAAAGACTGGTTCATTCAAGCCTTGATTTCCTATCACATAAAAGGCTATTTCACAAGTATCTTAGTTTATGTTCAGTGGTGAGTTTAGGAAAATGTTTGTCTAGAAGCACAGGGCATCTAGATTGACCCCACTCGTGTCTGGATTGAAATGTGTCGACCCCTAAATATGTGCTGTAAATACTGATCTCCCTGTTTGTGGTTATAATCCTGTTTGGAAATGATGTCTTTGTTCTGTTATGTTAATGAGGAAGCATTTGTGTAGGTTTTATCTTGAGTCAATCTCCTTTGTGATATACTAGTATTAAATAAGTCAGCAATGAGAGATGGAGTAAGATTGATGCCAGGACACGTGAAGATATCCCAGGAATGGTGAGGAAATAAATTGCTGTTTGTTAAAGCCATCTCCTGGTGGCATTTCTGTTACAGCAGCAGTAGGTAACTAATGAGCTCGGGTGGCCTAGTGGTAAGGAGCTGTGCTGCCAACCCAAAGGCAGGTGGTTCCAGTCCACAGGCTGTTCTGTGAGAGCAAGGTGGTGGTTCTCCTCCTGTATGATGAACTGCCTCTGAAAACGCACTTGAGGGTCAGCTATAACTTGGTTACAACCCAAAGGTGCATAACAATGAGAGATAACTAATACACTGGCCCAGCCAGCAGCTTGATATCATCAAGAAACACACAACTTTTCTTTGCTATAGATAATGCTCTTAATAGATGATTTAAGGTGATTTTTTTTTAATTTCCAATTTGGCAGCACGGGATGACAAAGCAAAATATTACAATGAAATGTGCAAGGAGTTGGAGTCAGAAAATCAAAAGGGCCGAACTCGCTCAGCATATCTTAAGCTCAAGGAACTGAAGAACAAATTCAAACCTCGAGTTGCTATAATCAAGGACGCTTTTGGCAGAATGTTAAATGATCCAGGAAGTATTAAAAGAAGATGGAAAGAATATACTGAGTCACTGTATCAAAAGGAATTGGAAGACACAGAAGAATTTCATGAAACAACATATGAGCAAGAGCCTATGGTGATGAAAGAAGAAGTTCAGGCTGCTTTGAAGGAAATGGCCAAAAATAAGGCTCCAGGAATAGATGATATACCAATTGACATATTTCAGTTAACAGATGCTGCCCTGGACGTGCTCACCAAGTTGTGCCAAGAAATCTGGAGAACGACCACTTGGCCAACTGACTGGAAGAGATCGATATTTGTTCCTGTCCCAAAGAAAGGTGTCCCAACAGAATGTGGAAACTACAGAACAATCTCACTGATTTCACATGCAAGCAAGATTTTACTGAAGATTATCCAAAAACGACTGGAATAGCACATCAACAGAGAACTACCAGAAGCCCAGGCTGGGTTTGGAAGGGGTCGTGGTACTAGAGATATTGTAGCTGGTGTTAGATGGATCTTGGCTGAAAGCAGGGAATACCAGAGGAATGTCTATCTGTGTTTCATTGACTATGCAAAGGCATTTGACTGTGTAGATCATAACAAACTATGGCTGACTCTGAGAAGAACGGGAATCCCAGAACACTTGATCGTTCTAATGCTAAACCTATACTTGGACCAGGAGGCAGTCGTCAGAACAGAGCAAGGGAACACTGCATGGTTCAAAATTGGAAAGGGCGTACGCCAGGGATGCATCCTATCTCCATACCTTTTCAACCTATAATGCAGAACAGATTATCCAGGAGGCTGGGCTCTATGAGGAGAAATGTGGGTGGACGATTTATCAACAATCTGCGTTATGCGGATGATACAACCCTGCTTGCTGAAACTGAAGAGGACCTGAAGCGCCTGCTGCAGAGTGTCAAGGACTGCAGCCTACAGTATGGATTGAGGTTCAGTGTCAAGAAGACAGAGATTCTCACCACTGGACCAATTGGCAGCATCAGGATGGATGGTGAAGAGATTGAGATTGTACACAGCTTTAGTTTGCTTGGCTCCACAGTCAACACTCTTGGCACCAGCAGCCAGGAAATTAAAAGGTGCATTTCAATGGGAAAGTCTGCTGTTAGGGACCTCTCCAAAGTACTGAAGATCAATGGTGTCTCTCTGGAGACTAAGGTGCGTCTGATACAGGCCATGGTCTTCGCAATCACCTGTTATGCATCAGAGAGTTGGACAATGACCAGGGAGGATAGAAAGAGAATTGATACCTTTGAGCTGTGGTTCTGGAGAAGAGTATTGAGAATACCATGGACTGCTAGGAAAACAAACAGATTTGTCCTGGAAAGGGTTAAACCGGGTGGCTCCTTGGAGACAAGGATTCTGAGGCTCCGTCTAACATAGTTTGGACATGTTGTGAGGAGAGACTGGTCCTTGGAGAAGGACATGCTTGGGAGGGTGGAGGGACAGCGCAGGAGAGGAAGGCCCTCTATGAGGTGGATTGATTCAGTGACTGGGATAATTGGAATGGGAATATCAGAGACAGTGCGATTGGCACAGGACAGAGCGGAGTTTAAGGCTGTTGTACATAGGGTCGCTATGAGTCGCAAGCAACTCGACGGCACATAACAGCAACAACAACATTTATTAGTTTTGAATTACAGATTAGAAAGGAACAGCATGTGTCCTGTGGTCACTTGGTGTCTATGCATGTATAAATATCATCTTTACAATCCCTGGCTGACAGGCACACACAGACTTTCTGGAACATTCTAACAGGTGCAAGGTATAGTAGAAAATCACGTGGAATGTTTTTGGCAAATGCCCCATTGCCACGATGGGGTTTCTTGCCATTAGTATTCCAGTTCACTTTTGCAAAATTACAGCCAAAGTGACTGGTTGCTCCTGTTACCCATTGTTGTGAATGTCAAACTGTGAAACTCTTTAGAGAGGTCTTTCTGAAATGGGAACAGTGACTCTGTTTGATGTAGGCTTTCTGCATAGCCCTTGGCTGCTCATGGCTGAGAGGCCCCTACATGTCCTGTGTGGCAGTGGAGGAAGGGCAGGCCAGCACAGTGAGGAAGTAACGGCCTTGGTCTCAAGCCAAGATTCTGTTGTTCTTGAGGACTTCCGCAGCCTTGATGATCCTCTTCTCCAGAATCTTCTTGGCCTGTTTCGTAGTCTCATGATCTGCTTCTTCCAGTAGATGCACCTGGGCCTTCTCCTTTCTCTTTCCCTCCTGAATGGCTGTGTGCCTCAGCACACCTCATGAGCTCAGTGATTCACCTGCAAAACCTTGACCACTGCAGGAACCACCATCTCCCTTCTCTTGTCATAGGGAGGCGGAATCTCATTGAAAACTTTGAGGTTGTCTAGGGCAACCTGGTGACGCTTGACCTAGTGAGGGATCTGTCAAAACATGAGGCTGGGGGCCCAGAAATGGGAAAGGCCTCAAGATGAGCTGTGGTCATGCGCTTGTAGAGGATGGCCTGATATTTCACCTTGCTTCTGTAGAATATTCCAGAAATGATTATGTCCCTATAGAGCATGGCCACCACCTTCCAGCCCAACAGCACCTGCCTGAGCACAGTGCCAACAGACAGCCCAGAAGATGCTTTGCCATTCGGCACCAGAAGCTGCAGTTTACCAGCCACCTGAGGCCAGGTGGATGGTTTTTCTATTTCCTTACTTTTACCTAATCAACTAGCATACCAACTCTCTAGCCTCCGATATCCACTTAGCCCCTAAAATTCGTTCTCGATCAGGTTCCATCTGTTGTCACTTTTTTTGCCTCCAAAATATTCCCTCTGCCCCTTTGTATCAGGTCTTTTCATCTGAGGCAACAAATAAAGACATTTCTGTGTTAGGAAATCTCCAAAGATAAAAATCTCCTTTTGGTCCCCGGTTCCAGTCAACAGCTACCATCGTGTTTGGCCACAGAGTGTTTTTAAAGGGTCGGCACTTCTTTTTCACTGTTGGACACACACTGTTGTCTGACTCTACTTCCCTCTTGTTGCCACTGAACTGCTCCTTGTGGGGCCACCAGCGACCTCCATATCCATGCCAAGGCAGGTGGATGCTTGTCACTCCCTTCTCTCAGAGTTAGCATTCTTGTTTCTCGAAACTCTTGCTTTCCTTGGCTTTTATGAAACAGCATTCTTCCAGTTTTTTACATCTCTTTTTGCACCTGCCCCATTTCCTTTGTGATTTTCTCTTTAGACTTCTGTTTAACTATCACCCCCTGTGGTTCTGTCCTTGGCCAAGTGCCTCTTTTTTCTTATGTATTCCTCCTGTGTTATTTGTCCATTTTTGTTCTAGTTTAAACTGCCATGTTTGTTCCTAGTTGGTCTTCTAAGTCTAGTTATCTGCTTGACAGGGCACCTGGCTCCTGCAGGGGCACCTCAATGTCAGTATCTTGAAAGGTGAATTGACCTTCATCTTTTTGTCACATTCCTTTCCTGTTTTAGCACCATTTACCGATTACTCAAGGGAGAATCTGAGAGTCAAAATATGTCCTACCAGTAAAATCCCAGCCACACATATGGCAGTTTACATTTCAATTAAGTTAAAAATTAAGTTTTTAGTCACAGTAGCCAAGTGCCAGTGCCAGAGTGCCAGGCATGGTCAGTGGCTACCATATTGGACAGCATAGACACACAATACTTAAAATCAGTGGAGAAAGGTATTGGAGAGCACTGTCTGTGACTTCACTTTTCTGCTTATATCCCATCTGTCAGTAAGACTTGCTGATTTGATTTTTCCCCCCCTGTCAAATAGTCCTCACATATTTCTTTGTACTTGCCTATGCTCGGTTTTGCTGGTTTGAGGTTTTTTTCCCCCAGCATTCATCAGAACTAGGATA